CGCATCTGCGTATATAAAAAATAATTATTTAAGTATATTGCTTAATTCAAACGGTTCATTCATAAGCGAAAAATAGTGAACAACGTACAGGTATTAACTTCTGTGGAAACTGAAGACCATCGGTGCCAATAAATGCACCTCCATTAACCCTCTCGTCTTGCAGCGTTTCCCCTGAAAACAAGTACGTAATTCTTTACAATTTCAGTAGGACAGGTGGCAAATGAGACGGATAATGAATATGGAAGCCGTCTAAATAGCATAGATATATGTGTAAATTACTTGGTTGAATTTGTAACGACGAAACGAGATATATTTGTGCTGAATGTTAGGTGGCGACGGAAAACTTACCGAATTTATCTGGTGGTGCAACGACTGTTCCTTTCAGCAGAAGTGATAACTGCATACAAAGATTTCATTCACGGAAGCAAAATTTTCAAATAGGAACGAGATAAACTCCAAGATTACAATTATTTTACAACGTAAAACGAGCGACTGCAGCTGACTATATTTCAAAGAGGCGACAAAATCAGCCACTAAGCAGTAGATATTAGTATATTACTAAGCTATCATAAAATATCAGAGAAAAGGTTCTTTAATAAATAGGGTAAATTACGGCCAACTCCCTGAGGTAAGGTCAAATTACGAAGAAAGCCCTCTTGTTTGGGTAATTACAACCACCCCATCAACTATGAATATTCTTACACGTCCACCCTTAAGGTGTCAAATTTAACATAATCTTCATGGAGTGTTCTCTAATTTGTACTCGTTTTGGGCAAAAATGCAGTTTCTTATGCACCACAAATACAATCTGATATTTACAAGCCAAGAGACACATCTTATAATCATCTTGTTTCAATATGTGGAGCTCGAATGGGGTAAAACGGGTACAAACTAGAGAATATTCCACATAATCTAGAAGATTCCACTAAATTTGACACCGCAAGGGTGGACGTATAAAAAGATTCTTAGTTGATGGATGGTTGTAATTACCCAAACAAGAGGGGCTTTTTCGTAATTTGACCTTACCTCAGGGAGGTCGCCGTAATTTACCATTAATAAATTCCCTGCATCTGAACTTTAGAAAATTTTAAATCTAAAGAACAAAGATTTTGGGTACATTTCCAGCCTAAGCTACTGAATTTAGAAAATTATCTTCGACACGAGTTAGGGGATTAATATATATATATATATATATATATATATATATATATATATATATATACCTTGGTCAAGAACAGATCATGGAAAGCTCTTCCTTTCTCCTTCAGCTTTACTTCATCCAAAGTACTGAGATAAAAACCAACGACAAGTTAGTTCATATCAACTTAAGTATGACCGATGAAAACTAGAAAGTAGCTTTCGGATTATTTTAGACGATAATTTCAAACCCGAGTTCCAGATTTATTTCACTAAGCTTCCTTGTTGTACTCCGATACTCTTTCTCAAGAAGCGGAATGATCAGTGGTACACTGTCCATATACCTTAATCAAGAAATATATCACAAAAATTATCGGTTATGGGCACTTGTGACTTGCGACCAATCGTACGAGAGGCAAAACCGAATATCGGTAATATATAACTATGCTACCTTTTCTGAAGCAACTCTTCCAAAAATAACTTGAGGCTGCTAACACCGATTCTGCTCTTTTCTTGTTCCGAAAGTGATCTACCCAACTTTTCTTGCAAAGCGGTTATATCTTCCATCTCCCTCAAAGATACAGCCTGTCGAAAAGCATCAACAGAGATGAATGTCTGAATACATTGGGACGAGAGAAATTGCATTATTGAAAAGGAACGAAACATTTTCTGAGAAATTATGAAAAATATGATTATGGCTAATATCCCCAACCAAACGAGGCCTTAATATACTGGAGAAGAAAGAGGGTGACCTGTTTAAACTCGTCGTTAGATCTGTAGACAGATTCACGCTCGGATCCAACTCTGCCCGAAGGAACGGAAGTGAAAAAAGGCGAATCGCCTAACATGAAGCCGTCGAGTGTGCTTGCAGGTGGTGAAAGAAAGACTTCCACATCTGAAGCTCGTGCAAACTGAGGGATTTTTGTGTCAAGCTTTGTTGAGACAACTACGGTTCTTGAAAGTTCAGGATCAATCTATGCCAAAACAAAAGACGAATCAATCCTTTATTTGCTAGTATAATCTTGATTTGTAGAGTTCGAAATCAATAGATTACGAGCAAAACCTAAGAGAGAAGGTGAGATAAATCGTACTTGCATCACTACCCTCCGAGTTGTGGCGTTGCTCCAATCGCTGCAATCTTCGAGGCAAAGTATAATAAATTCCTTATGCTGCATTTTAGCCCGAACCAAAGACTCCACAGCTCGAGCTTGAGTCTGCCGTATCATATGTAGCATCTTCAATATTCCGAGGTGAATAAAGTAACTTCATAAAATAAAATAAAATAAATGGTAATATACCTGCAAAGCGCGATTTTTCCGAGCTGGAGCTGGAGCGATAAGTCCAGGCGTATCTATTATGGTAAGGTTCGGACAGTACTTGTATTCGATTCTGATTATTATTTCTTTCGACGAAAACTGATAAGGCTCTCTCTCCAGCCTCATATTTTCAGCTTCGATATAAGCCTACACGAATCGAACAAAATTAGCGGGGTTCGTTTTTTTTCAAATGAGAACGGGACTAGCTGAGCTTCCAACATTGTTAACCTCATTGATTAATTATCGAGGGTTTTAATCTCTCTAACTCGCACGTTTCAAACATAATTTGTTTGCTCTAAATTACACATTTTGCCATCCCTAACAAAAGCAAAATTGAATTCAAACCTGGATTTCCTGGAGTGATTTTTCCTGGGGGATTGAAGGGTCGGATTCGGACAAGAGATGGCAGAGAGGGGTGTCGCAATCGGGGTTGAACTTCATGTGGAGAGTGATGGGGCGGCGGGTCTTGGTTCCGCCGCCGACGTGGTTGAACTGGAAACCCATTAGGGCTTCCACGAGCGCGCTCTTCCCGTCGGTTTGGTGGCCCACCACCAGAACCGCCGGCGCGTCGAACGGCGTCGAGAACTCCTGAGCCAGACCGTGCAGCTCATTGTACGCCTCGTACAGCTTCCATTGCCCTTCCTCGGTTTCTGCCGATAACCCTCCGCCGCCGTTGAATCGGTTGTTTGAGTCCGTTTCCATCTCTCTCTCTCTCTCTCTCTCTCTCTCTCTCTAGGAGTGTGTGACTATGAGGTGAGTTTTGTGATAAAGTTGTTTGGAGTTTTTTGAATTGGGTTTGGATTTTGTGGGATTTTGGACACCCTCGCGCGCTCACTTCCGACAATTTCGGATATAAAATCGCTTTTTTCCACTCACTATGAAATTGATTAATGAGTGTGTATTTATATTACACTAAGTGTTTGCAAATGCTTTTTGAAAGTGATTATGCGGTTTTTTTTGCTCATAATCTGTTTTTAGGTGTTTGCAAAATCAACTTTTGCTTTTGCTTCTCTTAAAATAATCTGCTTTAAGCTATTTTTTTAAAAGCACCCCTAACCCTGCTTTTTCAATTTTAGTTCATTTTTCGAAATTTTTGCAAACACCCCCAACTTTTAGAAATAAGCACTTAAAACTAACTTAAATCACAATCACTAACTTCTGCTTTTAAATAATCATTTGTAAACACCACCTAATTAAGGAAGTTATTAAATAAGTAGTCTTAATTTTTGGAAAAAAAATATAATTTATTTATTTGACGATGTCAAACATTTATTACAACTAAAGAAACATTTAATCAAATTTGCACTAGAAGGTGAAATATCTCGCACTCAGGGGTCCTCATCCTTTCTTTGGCTTGAGTATTTGATGCATGAATGTAAATTATGCTGACTTAACGGTTTGTTAAGGTAGCGGGAGTGCCTACAACGAACCAATTCTCATCAGAGTTGAAATTTCCAAATTACGGCTGCCGATTTTAGATTCTTGCACCAACTTACTACCCGAAACGAGTTGACTTATTATACCTATGCGGACAAATTTGTTGAAATTTATAACATGTGTAGTATGCTAGACTATAAAAGTGGCACCACACTGTATTTTGTTTACCATGTTTTATTAATTAGTGTTAAAGAAGGAGTAAACTAATACTCACTAGTTTTGCTAAACATATTATTGAATCCCATTAACTCCATGTAAGAACAACTAAACCATCAGACAGTAGTCTATCTATACAAGTAAATCATGTTACATATTCATTACAAAAAAAAAATACCATTATTACAGAAATAATCACATATACTTGCAGCAAACATTTTACAATTTAAATAAAAAAAATCAAAAAAAAAAAAGGGGTAAATCCAAATTAAAGATCACACTTTAACTATTGTTCTATCTTTCAATAAAGCCTCAACAGCCCTCTTCCCAGAAACCAGAGCCCCATCAAAAGTTGCACTAGTCACATAATCCCCACATATATACAACCCCTCCTTCAACTTCGGATCCTTCATCAAATTCGTCGGCGGGCATTGATTCGGTTGTGCAAACCCGACCCGGTACATCCTCATGTACCTCCACCACCCGACAGCCTCACTCCCGAACCAACCCGACAACTCCTCCACGACTCGTTTCACCAGCTCCTCATCGGGGACACCCTCGTACGACCCGATAAGCGAAACGGATACCAGACCCTTTCCGGGCGGGGCGTACGAAGGAGCAACGTTGGTCGCGAAGAACATGTTGTTCACAATCCCCCGACCCGACCCGTTTAGGAACAGAGCCGGATCTTTAACCGGAACCTTGTCGGCGTCCACCGAGAAATACAAGCAAACAGTGCTCCGGACCGGCTCTTTGACCCGGCCCGTGTCGATTTTTCCCGCCAAAATATTGGCGGCTTCGAATTCTTCGATTGCTAGAATCACTCCTAGATCGCTCCTCAACAGCTCTCCGCTCGAAAGGTTTACAACAATGCCCTCGTCGGAATCGCAATCGACTGAGGCTACCCTGGAATTTAATATGATGGAACTCGGATTCAATTTACCCGCTAATTGTTCGGGAATTGCGGAAATGCCATTCTTCGGGAGGGTGTTGTCGCCTAGTGCGAGACATTTGAAGACGAAATCGAACAGACGAGAGGTTGTTTCGAGTTCTCGGTCGAAGAAAACGCCGCCGAAAAATGGCCGAAAAAATCGGTCCAGTACTGAATCGGAGAATCCGGTCTTCCTAAGCAAGTCAATCGTCTTCACCTCATCGGCGGTTAATAGATTGTAATCCGACCGGCTCAAAACCCTAATTCTACTCAATCCTATCAGCAGCTTGTCAACGACGGTGCCGATTGGGTTCGCCAGAGACAGGACAGCATCGGAGAAGTGGCGCAGGGGATCCGCCACGGTGTGGAAGCGGCCGCCGAAGAAGACCTTCGCGCCGGAGTAAAACCTCTGGAGATCGAGGGCGTCGTAGTCGAGAAGCTCCCGAGCTTCGGGGTAAGCGGTGATGAAGATTTGGAAGCCGCGGTCGAGGGTGAAGCCGTCGACGAAATCCGTGCGGACGCGGCCGCCGACGGCGTCGGAGGCTTCGACGAGGAGGAAAGGGATGTTCTCGGCCTGGAGCCGAGTCGCGGCGGCCAAGCCGGCTAGACCGGCGCCGACGACGATGACGCCGGTTTTGTTGGGCGGCTGAGAACTAGAGAGGGTTTTATTGGGTGTGGACGTGTCCAGGGAGATTTGCTGTGAGGTCGCATTTGGTGGTTTGAAAGAGTTGATTTTTTTGAAATTGGAAGAGGAAATAGAAAATGCCGGTGAAGAAGAGAACGGAGAAGAGAGAGCGGCAGCGGCGCGTGACATCCTTTCTCCGATGGGTTGGAGCTTGGATGGGGCTTTGTTCACTTCATCCAATAATCAATTATTCAATATTTACATTATCCATTTCCTTTTGTGGGGACTGGAAAAAAGGTATTATTTAATTCAATTTTACGTTTTGATGCACTACTATAGTATGCATATATAGGATTTTTTTTAATTTTTTTTAATTTTAATTGTTTTTACTAAAAATATGTAATATTACAAAATTAAGGTCAGATGGCTCGTTATTCTCCATTTTTTAAGTTTTTTTTTTTTTTTTGAGAAACTATTTTAATTTCTATTAAATACAAATATATATATATAAAAAATAACGTACACATATATAATGGCTTAATTCCACTTTGCACCCTTGAAATATACCATTTTGGCACTTTGCACCCTCGAAATAAATTAATAGCACTTTGCACCCTCGAAATACAATAAATCATGCATAATGCACCCCAAATGAATTTTTAAAGCTAAAAAATATAAATTTAATATTTTTAGTGATATTTTTTTAGGATGCCAAATGTTAAATATTTTTTTTTATTCATAAATCATTCTGAAACTATAAAGTTCAAAAATAAAAATACATTTCATCAACATATTTAAAAATTATATTTTTTATCAAAATAAAATATTTTACGAAAAAAAAATCATTCCGCTATTCCGTTATCAAGTTATCTGAAAATTATATTTTCTTCCAATTATTTTCACCTAATATTTTCAAACAGTTACATAAAAGATCTATCAATCGAATAATTTAGTGATAAAATTTTATTTTTTATTTTTCTTTTGTACGAAAATGTAGATTTTTTAAATAATCCGGTGTAATTTTTATTTTTTCGCACTTTGTCCACTCGAAATTATGTTTGAGGTTCAAGAAAATAACAATTTTTTTTTTTATTTTGTACCCCAAAAAGAAAAACACCAATGGAAAATGAAATTGCCTTTATTATTCAATTGAGGGTGCATTGTGAATGGTTTATTGTGTTTTGAGGGTGCAAAGTGCTATTATTATTTTTCGAGGGTGCAAAATGCCAAAATGGTATGTTTCAAGGGTGCAAAGTGGAATTAAGCCCATATATAATAGTGGGGGGCATTTTAAGAAAATTTCCGAAGTTTTGAGGTACCGCACTGTTTTTTACGAAAATACCCTCACAATTTTGTTGGTTACAAGTTCCTCACAATCTCATACGTTACGGTTCGAGCAATGATCTGACACCTTATTCTCCGTCTCAGTTGAATCGAGTTATTTGAACTAATTTAAATCGGTTGAGTCAACTGAGAAGGGGAAAACGGGGCAATCACATACAACAAATTTGGCAAAACAATTAAAATAGACACCGAGGGAACTAGCTCAAATAAAAAAATCGAAACCAAAAGTCGCGTACATCCCTTGCCTATATTATGCAACCTACTGAGGGATTTTCCTCTAATTTTGCCTATATAATAATATAAAACTGAGTTTGACTCGTAAAAAATATGTACAAATGAGTCGAGCTCGACTTGCAACTCAGGCACATCATACATATGTCTGTCAAAAGATTCAAACCTTCACAAGAAACAAGAAGGGCCAACACAACTAAACGAAAATCTTGATAATCTCACATTTGTGTTAGAGAGTTTAAGTTGTCATAACAAACTCATTTGGATTGAAGGATTTGGATTGAAGGATTTGGATTCGAGGGGATGATGCGTGAGGGGATTTCAAATGACTCTAAAGAAGACGAGTTGGAATCCACCACAATAACTTCAAAAACTACTTTAAAACGAGAGCTACGAATTTGAATTTGACGTCAAACATACTCAATGGATTTGCTATAACAGAATAACTGCTCATATCTTTCCATCCATCAAGATGATTCCTTTAACACTGAATTCCAAATTTCAATTCGGAACTAATTTCCAAATCCTTCAATCCAAATAAAGTCCAAAATACTACGAGATATTCATGTCTAGCAGCAAGGATGTATGCAATCCATAGTGATGGTATATACTCAGGCTATGTGAAGTCTACGTAACACTTCGTGACTTGACAAGAAAAAACTTTTAGAATGTGATCATGTTACGAGAAAAATCTGAGGCACTGAAATCCGAAAGCAATTCGCACGTAATAGCAGACAATTGCAATGAAACTTTTACTAGTAATATCGGTATTATTCAACTGCATCACACTCTAGCAACAACCTAGACGATGTTCCAAAATCCCTAAGAACGAAAAATGAGTAAAACAAGACCCCAACGATCGTTCAATCCGAATCAATAAAATCTACCCAACAATCGTTCAATCCGAATCAATAAAATCTACAGTCACGTAATTCACCTTTGTTATTTCAATTCTATCATCCAAAACAAAAAAAAGTAGTAATATTTACCAGAAAAAATTCCGTCTCCCCTTCTGCAAATCAATCCACATTCTCAGGGCAAATCTCCTCAAACACAGCCAACCTCTTTCTCGAATTAGTCCCGTAAAGCACCCTCGCTATGTAAGCGTCGACGTCTTCCTCCATTGATCCACAAGGGATAGTGGTGTCAATCCCATCATCACAGGGGCTCCAATCAGATCTGGGAGGATTAGAATCCGGGATTGTGGTGGTGGAATTAGCACTCCCAGAAGGTGATGGCTGTTGAGTGCAGGG